ATAACAGTTAGGAAATTGTTTGTTTTTATTAAACATACCAGTAATCCGGATGAATTAGTTGAATACATACCGGAAATGTCGACAATAACATTGCTATCGAATTTGGGCGGACTATTGGGTATGTGGTTAGGAGTCGGTGTTTTGACTATTCTGGAAATTGGTCTCAAAATTGTCGAATCGATTACAACCGTTAGTATTATTGGCCAACAGCGTCGCCATCACCGTCGGCATCGATGAATGATTGGACACTGAAAAACAATTAGCACCAAGGTTTATATTGAACGGTAATATTACTTAAAAATGTTAGTTATATTATTATTATTATTATACATTAAATTTATTTTCTTAATTAATTACTTATAAATTTAGTTTTATAAATATAATTTTATAGATACGTTGAATACAATGGAAAAACAATCCACAAAAAATACACGCAAACAAAACAACAAGTTTATTAAATTTTTAAAAATACAAAATTTAAATCAACTAATTATTTAGTATTGAAAATTTTTTTTTATATAAAATTTTTTAATTTAAACCAATAACTGTATATACTGTTTATATACCGGTATATATTACTTTATCTATATTTATTTAAAAATTGATAATTAGGATAATTTATTGTTTTTTTTGTTGGGCAAAACATTGGCAACAAATTTATCACATAAATAAAAAAAATATATTTCAAGTAACATTAATTATTGACTAATTTTTAATATATTTTATTGAAATTAATAACTTATTATTTTTTAATTTATAATTTTTATATTAAATTTCAATAGTAATTAACTTATAATATAATTTTTTTTTTAAATATAATATTGAATTTCATGTATTTTATTTCAAATTTTCTTATTTTGGTTACATTATTAATTTTTTTTTAAATAAATTACAACTTATACTATTATTACAAAAAAAATCTATATTTCTATTGTAACATAAATAGATAATTATATTTTAATGATAATTTATAATAATAATCTATATGTATTACAATTATAATTAATTTAATTCAAACTTAATCAAAATATTTGTTTGCTTATTATAATTACAAAACATATTATTCAAAAAAAAATGTATTCAAAAAATTTTATAAATGTTTGGAACAAAAAAATTATTTTGAAATTTAATTTCAATTTACAAAAAAAAAATTAATTATATAATTGTATATAATTTTTAAATAATAATAATAATAATAATGCAATTTTTTTCGCAAAATTTTGACATTAGATTTGTCACCAAAAAAAAAAATTATAATTAATTACAAATCAAACTTTCGATTGATATCTTCCGTCAACTGCTTAATGATGTCATCTTTTTGCTGAATCTTTGCCTTCATTTTCATCTATTGTCTAATGTTTTTCGTGATATCGGACAGTAAACTGATCGGTGATCAACGGATCTGCAAACACAAGCGGTTGTTGTTGTTATGGACACCGATGACATCGTTGATATCAATGATAATATATATATATATATATAATTTGATTGATGTATATATATATATATATATATATATATGATATGTATATCCCGTTAACAATACCTCGCAATAGTGTTGACCAGTAAATCAAAACTGCAATACAATAGCCTTAAAACTTATAGACTATAAGTAAATAATACAAAAAAAAAATAATTTTGAAAACCAATAAATCATACGACTATTATTATACTAAAAGTTTCAATGATTCACTAAAAAACAAAAAATTGTTTTAAAAATTATCTAATGAGTTGAATAAGTTTTTTTTAATATTATATAAATTAATATAAACATTATACAGTTTATTATATGACAATAAATAAATTATATATATATATATATTTAAAATAAATTATCTAGCTTATTTATCTAGCTAATTTATTAACCCATTAGTCAATTTTAATACAATTGGTTTTACAATATGACTAAATGTTATTTTTTTTAAAATTTAAAAATTTATACATTTCCTACATATTCATAACTTTTTTTGTATATATATATATATATATATTTGAAAAATGTTTTTAGTTATCAATTATATAATAATTCATACTTTTATTACAATAAAAAAAAATTACCAAAATTGTAATTAAAGGAAACAATAATTTTTATGATTATTATTTAAATTAAATAATTAATTCAATAATTTTAATTTTATTGTATTTAAAATTAATATTTTTGTTATACATATAATTCACATATTAAAAATTTATAAATGAAAATGAAATAATTTTTTAAAAAATAAAAGTTATTCACAATTATCGGTAATAAAAAATTTAATGTATTAATTGTATATATATTTTAATACTAATACTGTTTTTTAACTTAAACTTTTTTAACTTTGCTAATTTAATAATAAATTAATTCAATTATTTGGATTCAATATATTTAGTTCAATTATTTTGTTTTTATTTGTTGTTTATAAATTCAATGCATTCAAACTGTTTATTATTTTAAATTTTTTTTTTAATAAAAGTTACTTCAATTACGTTAAAAAAACAATTATATATTTTGATATATTGATTATAGATATTATAGGATTATAGATATTTTGATATTTTGATATATATATATATATATATATATATATATATAATTTATATTTAATAATATAGTAATTAATTATTTTTTGTGTCACAATTTTAGCTTCAGATGACTGTAATCATTGAAAAAAAAATAATTATTTTATATTCAACTCTCGATTGATATCTTCTGTCAACTCCTTTATTATGTCATTCTTTTGCTGAATTTTTGCCTTCATTTTCATCAATTGGTCAATCATTATGTCCTTACGATTCAATACTGACTGAAGTTTATTCAGATAACACTCGTCGTCGATGTCATTCATATCACTAAATAATAAATAAATTTTAAATAAAAACAAAAAAAAATATAATTAAATATAATTTAAATAAATTTTTTATGCCTTATATGTATGTCCTGTGCTGACGACGATGGGATCAATTCAGTGACTGTTGTTTTATGGCTACCATTGCTATCGTCTGGACAACAATTATCATCCAATTGTTGTGAACTAATTGCCGATTGACGGCAACATTGGGTATCGGTTTCCAAATCGTCCACAACATACAAGTCGTCAGTCAAATACTTGTGGCCGTAGCCGCGGGCGGGTGTAGTGGCGGCCACCAGTGCATCGGTAATGGTTCTCAAACTGTCCTTGATTGTGTCCGATAATGTTGTTATATTAGCATTGATTGAATCACTACTAAACACACATTTAAAAAAACAAATAATCAGTTGATCCACACAATGACATCCCGACTACCGGTAATATAATATATATACTTATTATTGTTGTTTGAAGTTATGATGGCATCGGTTATGGCTTTGGTATGCATAGCGAAACACTCTCTCAATGTTATCGATTGATCCGTTAGTTTATCACTTAGTTTATGGATATATTTTTTTTTTAAATTATCGGTAATTATTTATCAAAAATATTTTTCAATAATACCTCAATGTTTTCAATTTAACCAGTTTTTGATAATCAATATTAGTATCGCAGTATTTCGGGTATATTCGGGTAACACTAATCTCAATCATACTGTTAGCAAACCGGCCATAAATCCAGGCCCTGCTTATGGGCATATCATCCCTGAGCTCACGACTAATACCGCCGCCGACCCGTCCTTTTTCGCTCAAATAAATTTTAAACCCGTAAAAATCAATATTAACTAACGAATCAATTAGGATACTGGTCTTCAAGTGGCCAATTGTCGGCATCAGTAACGGTTGGATACTAATGTTGAACGGTTCGGTATGTTTACTATATGACGGTTGTATGTGTTCTTTATGTATGCCGACCAACTTTAACCACACCAACACTCATGATGGCCTAATCAAGAGCCGAAAAATTTGTTGTTGTTGGCCATCATTGTCCCCGCCACAGCCGCCGAAATCAATAGTATCAGTAGTGACCAGGCTATCGGTAATGCCGCCATCATTGTCGGACACTTTATACAACTCTAATTGGATATTATCCCAGTCGGCCACCGCCTGTTTGAACAGATCGGTCACTTTAACCGCAGTAACCCTATGCGGACAATAGCCGTACGGGTAGTCATCCAGATCTTCGGCGAGTGTTTTGCGTGATATCCGGCAGTAAACTGTTTGGTGATCAACGGATCCGCAAACACAAGCGGTTGTTGAAGAGAGAGAGAAAGAAAGAGAGAGAGAAGAGAGAGAGAGAGAGAGAGAGAGAGAAAGAGAGAGAGAGAGATATATATAGAGAGTCTAAAACATCGGCGGCGACGATAGCGGCGATGCTTTTAATTTCAATTAACTGGTCAACAATACGCTGAATTTATAATTAAAAAAATGACCAATGATGGCAATGTTGTAGATAAATTTTAAACTGGATAAGATTGTAATTGGTCATTTTTTTTATTATTAAATTTTAATTTAATTTATTGGTCAGATAATAGGGCAGTCGACTATAATTTTTACAATTTTTTTGTTGTTATACAGTCGACTGTATATTTTATATAGCCAATGATGCAATTAATTAAAAAAACTGACCAATTACAATCCTATTCAGGTTAAAAATTTATCTACAACATTGTATAACTTGGTCACTTTTTAAAAAAAAATTGTTGACCAGTTAATTGAAATTAAAAGCATAGTTTTATAATTCAAAAAAAATAAAATTTATACAATATTTCAAAACATTTACTATACAATCATAAGTTATTTTTTTTTGTTAAAAAATGTTTATTTTTTCCAATTATTTAATTTAGTTTTATATAATAATCAATACATTGCAATCGTAATTAATGCACAATTATTTATATATATTTTTTAATATATAATAATAATATCTTAATAATAATTATATAGTATTTGATTCAATAATAATTCAATTATAAATTATAAACTTTTATATAATTATAGAGAGAGAGAAAAAAATCAATCAATTAATTAATTAAAAATATATAAATGAAAATCAAATAAAATACAAAAAAAAATAATTAATAATAATTATTATAAAAAAAAAATCTCCAAAAAAACAACAACTGATCTCTCAGTCAGTCTTTAGACCAAATAATTAGTTATCTAAACGACTGACTAAACGGATAGCTAATCGACGACTGTTGCGGTACTACTTGTTGTGGCAGCGGTTGCGGCGGCATCTGTGGCATCATTTGCGGGCCACCGGCGCCGCCACTGCCGTACACCGGATACGGTGGCTGAACATATTCGCGTAGACCACTGCCGGCTCCGCCACCGCCGCCCGGCTGTGAAAACGGCAACGTTGGCTGCTGAGGGGGCGGTGGCGCCGGCCGTAACGGTGTCAGATTGGACAGCGACTGACCGCCAACACCCAAACCACTACCACCGTTGTTGGTCTCCCGACGTATACAGTCCATCATCTTTTCGGTCTTAATGCGGCGCAAATGAGCCAACTTTCGCCGATCGACAAACTCTTTGATAAACTGTTCAAACGATATGTCAGAGTTTATGAAAGCCGAGGCCAGATCTTCGCTCTGTTCTTCGGCTTCGGCAGTTGCCGTCTGCATCAGCGCCAGCCGAGTGTCCAGCGATGTCTGACGGGCTGTTTCGTCCAGTCGTGACTTTTTCTCGTCAATTTCTTCTTTGAGTGCCGTCAGCTCCCGATGACCGTCGACCAGTTGCTGACGTTTCTGCCGATAGACTGGTTCGCGCGATAGGTTATGCTGTGCGGCTGTCCGGTTGGCCTCAATCAGCCGATCGCGTTCCGATTCCATCGATTGGATCTGTTTGCAAGTGATAATCATATATCAAATACATGTGATATATGGGTGGACAACAAACCTGCGGCAACTCTCTGATCATTTCGTCTAATCGATGACATCGACCACCGCTGCCGTCATCGTCGGTAAGAAATTGTCTTAGCTCTTCGTTGGACAACTGACTTAGTCGTGCGGTAACCGATGCGATGTCCAGTTGTTGGTCGGCGACGGCCGGCCCCCAGAAAGTAGTCATTTATGAGATGATATGATATATCTTGGGATCAATTAGTCTATTAAAACAAACGATACGATTGTTATATAATATTATAATTTATTTTATTTTATTTTTTATATACAATTGATTATTGTTTAGTCGTATTGTATATTAAATACTGTAATAATAATTATTATAATAATAACAATACAGTAGTGACTAATACTAACCCAACAAAATATAGGATAACCAACACAAACATATTGTACACATAAAAATAAAAATTATATTTTTTTTAAAAAATAAATTAATTAACACTAGTTTTTTTTAATTAGTTATGTATTAATTAGTTTATTTTGTTTAATTAATAATAAACAATTTGTGGTTATAAAATTTTAGATTTTTATTAATATATATATATCAAATAAATTGGTAATTTATTTTTTTTAAAATTATAGTAAAGGTTGTACTGTATATAACAAGTTGGTCACTCTAATACAATTCAAACAGTGTATCACAACTATAGTGCCATCTATATAGTGATAGTTATAGTTATAAACTTTATAATTAATTTAAATATATATTAATTATAAATACATTAAATATTGATTGATTATAGTTTTTAATTAATTAATTAATTAAAAAAAATTAAATGTTAATAAAAGTTTTTATTTTTTAACTAAAAATTTTATAATTCAAAAGATAGTAAACAAAAAAACTAATATATAATAAATTCACCGAAAATTTCTCAAAAAAATATTTTCTTAAATTAATTAATTTTTTAAATATATATTTATTTTTTGAGTAAAATTAATTTTTAAAAAAATAACTAATAGTTTTAATTATGTATAAAACAATAAATTATTTATTTATAATAATTTATAAACATTTTAACTACCAAATAAATAATATAACATAATTACAAATTATTCAAATTTTATTGATTACCAAAAAAATAATAATAAAATATTATATATTTTTTTTAAAAAAATGTTATTTAATTATGACATTAAATAATGATAGCAACGACAACAATGCAAACAATTGTGAGACCGATTGCCACCAAAATTAACTTCTGTGTAGAAAAACAAAACAAAATATCAGCTCAAGAGGTGGTGGTGGTGGGGGTAGGGTGTAGGGTGTGGGCGGCCATTGAGACCGCTAATCTGTGGGTAGGGGGTAGGGATGCAATGATTACCCCTTACCTTACGACGCGATTTACGTTGCCATTTGAGGGCCGGCTTAAAGTCCTGGACACCCGTCTCGACATAATCGCCAGCATTGCGGACGTGTTGTTCAATACTGTCGATGGTTTCGCCCTAAACAACAAAAATCAAAACAAACTTATATATATATATATATCAATTACAAAATTATTATTACTATTTAATACATAAGCTGCTACCCTGCCCCGCCCACCCCCCTCCCCGTAGAGAGTTTCGGGTGGCAAGTCTATAGCACAATAGATATATTACCTGAATATCTACAACTAATGCCATATCCATAAACATGTCGTGCAATTCCCGTATACTGTTTTCCAGTTTAATTATGTCCGCGTGTCGGGCCTCGATGTCGGCCAGCCGTTGCCTAAGCTCTCGGCTATCGGTAATTATTTTAATCTGTTGTTCAAAAAAAAAACCAAACCAATTGTTGGGGTTTTGAAAAATCGGTGTCTGAATCACAACAACAACAATAACAATAAAAACCAGATTAACTAACCGATTGTGTAAAAATGTTAGGATTTTCACTGTCCAACATTGTCTCCAGTTCCTCATCGGTGGTCGATCGACCAGCTGTTCCCAACAGTTGTTTAAAATTATTAACAAACAATAGTCTACTACTACTACTACTACTACTACTTACTAATCTCTAACTGTCTCTGTATTCTTGCCTTACAATTGTGTCGATAATCAATTTGTATTGTATTATAATCGGCCATAACTTCGGCAAACTTTTTCAATAACATCGATAGCTGTGTCCGTCGGATACGTATTGTTGTGGCCGTTGTAGATGTCGGCGCCAATTGATCTATACTTGAGTTGATTGCTTTTTTATCCATTGAAACAAAAAAAATATCATAAATTATCGGTAATTACAGACAAAAAAAGTGTTTTAAATATAACCAAACCTTTAAGTCTAGTTCTGACACTATTGGCTGTCCTCTTAATTTCGGCCATCAGATCATCCAACTGTTGTTTGACTTCTGTATTCAAATTAAACAATATATATATATATATATATATATATATTATAACAAATTGTTGCAACAGTTTTGTAATCACTCGCTAAGTAGTGACCCGTTCCCTCCCTCCCTCCCTCCCTATAATGATGACCCCCACCGCCCAACAAAAAACAACAACACTTACTGTTATCAGTTTGCGGTGCAATCAATATCGCCGAATGAATTTTCTTCATCTCATCGACACTGGTCTGCATCGACTCGATTGTCTCGCGAAGCTGTTCCACCTGTAAGTGAAGATCAAGAAGAAACCAATTATTAATTAAAATTCAAACTATGGATTAAAGAGAGAGAGAGAGAAAGAGAGAGAAAGAGGGAGAAAGAGGGAGAAAGAGGGAGAAAGAGAGAGAAAGAGAGAGAAAGAGAGAGAAAGAGAGAGAAAGAGGGAGAAAGAGGGAGAAAGAGAGAGAAAGAGACGATGTCTTACCTCTTGAAAGAACTCATCCTTTAAATGGCTTTTTCTATCGATTTTGTAGATTATCTTTGAAAATCTGTCCGAAAGTTTTCGGGCCTAAAAACCAAATACGGGAATTTCAGTGAGGAGGGGGGGGGTTAACGCACATAATGACTGACTGTCCTGTATATATATAGAGGAGTTGGTCCAACACTACCCAGTGATGGCCACAAATATAAATACTTACGGCTTTTAGCGAATTTAATCGGTCTTTTGTTGCCATTATTATACTGTATTATAATCCCCTATGGATTGATGTGATGGATGTGATGGACAGTAAATAGCAATAATAATAATAATAATAGACAATAAAATTCATAACTAACTAAAAATTGCAATAATTTTTATATAAGTACTGCATATACAATATATAAGCAAATAAATTGAATAATAATTATATATATTGTATTTTTTACACAAATTAATTGCTAATAAATATATCAATTATACCGGGAAGTTATCATATATATGCAATATATATATATATATATGATAACTACTGTATATATGCAAATGTTATATACATGTATAGTATTTTTTTTAAAAAAAATTATGAGTCATAGCATGGATAATAAAATTGCTATACAATGATGCAATAAATAATTATTACATTATTATTATTGTTGTAAATTGAAACATAATAAATATTTATTTTGATTTTTATCATTCAATTATTAGTAATATTTATTACTACAAAAATATGTTATATAAAAGTTATAAATAAATTTTTTTTAATCAATAAATATAAATATACATTTTTCCAAACAAAAAAAAACAATAAAATTTAAAAACAATAAAAACAAATTTTTATATAAAATAAATATATATAGATATAAATATAAGTATAAATATATATAAATAAATATATATACTGTATATAATATATAAACTTTATGTAAATTGTATTTTTTTTAAAATTTGACTGTTTATATACAGTATATATTAGTATATTAAATATAAATTATATATATATATATAAGTTACCGGTATATTATTTAGCTGACTATATAAAAATATTGTTGACTTAATTTTTTTATTTTTAAATATTTAGTTTTTTAATTATAATTTTAATTAAAATACTTTAAAAACAGAGCAAAGAATAAGGACTATGACTGCAATCAAAATTATTACACCGATTAACACCAGAATCGACTTCTGTAGTGATGAAAAAAAATTATTATAAAAATTTAAAAAAAATATATTTACAAACAATTTAATTTTAAATTAATTAGTTACCGATAATAATGATATATATATATATAACACAATCGATGTCTAACTAAACTAAACTAAACTAAACTAATTGATTGATTGACAACTAACTAACCTTACGTGACTTGCGTTGATATTCACGCGCTTTTTTCGTAACAGTTTTAGCTGTCTCTACGTAATTGGTACTGCTTTGCACGTGTCGTTCAATGCTATCAATCATTTCGCCCTAAAATAACAACAAAAAAAACAAACAAATTAGTGATAATTACATAATTAGAAAAAACAATTAAAATCAATAATACTATCAAATTATATAAACAAAAAATTATTGAATATTTTTTTTTAAAAAAAACAGTATATTAATCAATGATAGTAATAATATTAATAAATGAATAAAATTTTTATATACATTTTATTGTATTATAATTTAGATATAAATCCATTTAGATAGCGAAGACACAGTACAACATAGCGGTTAAGCACACGGTTTGTATATGTTTGAGGGGACAGTTGGATACAATAGATAGATAGATATAACATTAAAGTTGTCATATTATAAGCAATTGGCGATAGAAATTAATAGCTAATAATAATAATATTATTATTATTGTTGGAGATATTGTTGCGGCCATTTAGTTGCCAAGCGATCTGATAATTGCTTTAATTATTTTTGGGAGGAAAAAATGTTTAGTTAAATACATATTTAGATTAGTTATCGCACAGTTATTTTTTAGAGGAAAAACATATTAAACACAGATTAGAAAAAAAACATAAATTTTAAAATAAATTTAATGACAAAATACGACTACAAAATATATAACGATTACGGTATACAAAAAAAGCATAGCATTTACGGTAATTAAAACACTAATATATATATATATATATATATATATATATATACACACACACACACACATACATACATACATACATACATACACACACACATACGCATATACACACACACACATACATACAAACAAACACACCCACACACAAATACATACACACATACACATAAACATACACATACACATACACATACACATACACATACACATACACATACACATACACACACATGATACATACACATACACACACACACAGATTGAAATTATAAAACTAAATATATTCATCTAAACTAATCTAATCACTTATGGTGAGAGGTGGGGGGGGGGCTACCAGTGCCGGGGTGGTGGTGGTCTACCACTTAATCAATTATTACCTGACTTTCGACAAGCATAGCCATATCCATGAACATGTCGTGCATTTCCCGTATACTGCTTTCCAATTTAATAATGTCCGCGTGTCGGGCCTCGATATCGGCCAGCGTTTGTTTGGCCTGTTGAGTGTCGGTAATAATCTTTTATGGGTGAGGAGGGGGCAAACAAACAAAACAATTAAATTAACCGTAGTTTTATAAAAAAAAACAAATAGGAGGGGGAAGGGAAAGGACCAGTAAGGAAATGGATGTCCAAAAAACAAACAAACATCACTTACTCCTTGTGTAAAAATAGCTGGATTTCCGCTTTCGATCATCGCCTCGAGTTCATCATCAGTGGTCGATCGACCGGCTGTTTCGTACAAATAATAATATGAAGATAATTAGTGGTTATTATAAATATGACATACAATCACTACCATCACCACAACCACTACCACTAACGACTACTCACTTATTTCTAACTGTCTCTGTATTCTAGCTTTACATCGGTCCCGATAATCGGTTTGTGTCTTATTATAATCGGTCATAACTTCGACAAACTTTTGCGATAACATCGAGTGCTGTGTCTTCCGGATCCTGAAGTCGGCGCTCATCATTGATGTCTGTTCTAATTGTTCTATAGTTTGCTCCATTACTGATGGGATGGATGGATGGATGGATGGATGGATGGATGGATGGATGGATGGATGGATGGATGGATGGATGGATGGATGGATAGATTGATGGATAATAATTGAAGACACGAAGAGAGAGAGAGAGAACCAATTAGTAGATCAAACAAAGACAACAACAACTAAAAAGTACAGACCTTTTAATCTTTCCCGTACTCTGTTGGCTATCCTCTTGATTTCGGCCATCAGATCATCCATTTGTTGTTTGACTTCTGTTGTTTGACATCAACAACACCAACAACCACCAACAACAATGTGGACACAAATAAGACAACAAAACAAAACGGGTTATTAGGTTACACAAAACGCGGTCACTTTTATATATATATATATCTATATATAATAACAGCCGATATTTCGGCGGCCAAACAAACACATACTATCGTCAGTTTGCGGTGCACTCAATATTGCCGAATGAATTTTCTTCACCTCCTCGACACTGGTCTGCATCTTCTCGATGTTGTCGCCAATCTGTTCCACCTATAAGTGTGTGAAATAAAGAGAGAGATATATAAATAGATGAAAATGAAAACCCAACCCATAATTAGTGTCGGGATGTCTGAATCAATTGAATGTATAAACCAAACCAAACGCTTACCTCCCGGAAGAACTCATCCATATAACCGCCCCTTTCGTCGAGACCAATGAATACCGAATCCTCATCGGTCTGGACCTACACATACAGACAGACACACACCCACCCATCGATGGCGATGCCGGCGTCGGCGGCGACAGCGGGAAGGGATCAAACAAATATTGTTAGTATATATACTATATATATATATATAGATAGCTATATCGGTTGCCACTATATTACCCGCGAATAGGCCATACAATCGGCAATACTTACGGCTTTAAGCGCTGCTAATCTGTCTTTAGTCATCACTTTTATATATATATAAAAAAATAACTAAATAACTAAAAGTTTTTTATATATATATTATTTTCAATTTATTAATTTTTTATTATTATTAATAGGGTTTATATCATATTATTATTTAGTGTATATTAAATATCATTCATTATATTGTTATCGCTATCTATATATCTACTAAAAAATATATATATATATTAAATATATTACTGTATTATAACATTATTTTTTTTGTTAATAACATTGTTATTGATATTATTAATGTTATTGGCGTTAATAAACACACATATATTATACATGTGTACTGTGTGTGTGTGTATTATTGTTTTTAACCTAGGGTTGCCAAATACACCAAAACAAATACACTAATATATTTGTTATCTAGAAATGATTATAATTATTATCATTATTATTAAATAATTGTTTTTTAATTAAATAATATTCTATATATATATACAGAAACAATTAAAAGTAAAAAATTAAAGTGACCAAGTATAATTTTAAACCATATTATTATTATTATTAGTAGTAGTACATTGAACTTGAAATTTGAAATTATTTTTTTTAGCTATCTACATATCTATGTATAGTGTATTTTATTAAATTTTGTTTCCCTATTTATATATTAATAGTATAATAATTCTACATGGTAATATATATATTTAAAAAATTTAACAACCCTAATTATTATAATTATGTACACATTATTATTATTATTTTATTTTTGATAATTTATTACACATGTAGTGGTGACTCATATACAGTATATTAATACATATATAGATTAAAATTATTATTAATAATAATAATAAAAATTACTGGAATGTGTAGTAACAGTATCTGTGAAGTGGAACCAAACAATATATATGTAATTATATTTACCACTGCATTGGTTGCCAATAGTGATAGAGAGTACAAACACAAGCAATAATTTTTTTTTTTTTAAAATAAGGACTGTTCATAAACAACGTAACGATTCTGGCAGTAAATAAAACCAGAATATATATATACAGTATATACTGTTATATATATATATTATTAATTTTATTAATTTTTATTATATATATATATATATTTAATACATTTAATAATAATATATACATTTAATATTTAATACTGTATATATTTAATATGATTTTTTAATATATATATAGTTTATAAAAATAATATATGTATAATATATAAGAAAAATTTACTATGTTCAATTATTTTTTTTTTAAATATTCAATTATATTCAATTATATTATAATATAAATATTAAATTATTAAGTTTTATATAACTATTATAAAAAAATTACTTTAAATTAAATAAATATTTAAACAAAATTTTTTAGGTTTTTTTAAAGTTTATTTTATAGTTTTTTAAAATTTTATAGTTTGATTGATTGATTCAATTTTTAATTATATATTTTTATATATATATATTCAATATATTTAAAAACTAAAAAGTGATAACAATTTTTAATTTATTTATGTTTTTTAATAATAATAATAATAATAATAACTTGTATTTTTTGAAATTGATTTTTTCCCCATTCATTCATTCATTAAGTTTTTATTTCAATTTATTTTTTGTTGTTATAGTTGTATATCTGTTATTGTTTGGAAGTAATGTATTTAAATGATTGATATTTTTTATATAATAATAATAATTATTATTATTAATAGTAATATTAACAAACAAACAAAAATAAAATAAATATCAGTTATTGTATTAATTAAAATATCAAATTTAAATATACAGTTAATATATATATATAAATATAAACAATATTATTATAATCAATAATAATAATAATAATAATAATAATAAAACAATTAACATAATTGTAATAATAGTAATAATAATTGTTAAACACTATTATTTTTTTAATAATATATTTATAATTAAAAACATTTTTATGACATTTTGTTGTTAGTGTTGTTATTATTATTATTAATAATAATAAGTGTTTTGTCATTGATTTACAATATCTTAAATTGTTTGTTAAATAAATTTTTTTTATAAATATTAATATAATAATCAAAAAAATTATTTTATTTATTTATATATATAATTTTTATATTTATATTATTTATAATTTTATTTATAATATTTATAATATATATATATATAATTTTTAATTTAGTCTAAATTAATGCTTACAATTTTCTATGTATTATATATATATATATATATATTTGATTTACAAGTGTTTTGTATGTATGTGTGTGTGTGTGTGTGTGTGTGTGTGAGTGTGTATATAATAAATACCAATGAATTTTTTAATATACTAAAAATTAAAAACATTTTTAAATGTATAATTTTAAATGACAAATATAATATAATAATAATTTTATTCAAATAATATATTTACATAAATAATTTTATTGTTGTTGTTATTGTTTGTTTTAAA